GCTAACCTCAAAACTAACCTGTCGATCTTGATATTTGTCAAAGATTTATAACTATGAAAGATTAAAAGAGCAGTTGATTCTTTTGATAACTGATGAACTTCTGCTTTAGATTTGCTGCAATTGTGAAACTTATAAGGAGGCAATATTTTTTCAAAATTCCTTTTGATAATTTTCAAAATTTTGAAAATAAAAAGAAGAAGAAAAACATTTTCAAACAAGATAATCTCTCTGGAAGCATATCTTCAAATTCAACAAATATATCAGAAGTTCGTGATCAAATATGGGGTAAGGGAAGCCAAAATTTTTAGGTAAAATTTGATGGGGCAAGGAAAACAAATTATCTTAGGTCGAAGTTTGCAAGAGTACACCCTAGAAGAAAATGAAGAAAACTGAATCAGGGTTAGAGTGAAGACTGCTCAAGCAACTGTTCCCCTTCCAGATCGACATACATCAACATATACATACATGTTACATGAGTTTGCATATGTGCATCATACATCACGCAATAAAGACTTTGATTTTCCCTCTTATGAGGATACTTTTAAAATTTTCACTTGAAATACAGTTTTCCCTCTCATTAAGACAAATTCAAAATTTATCAAATCAAATAAACTTCATCTTGGCATCCATCATAACATCCAAGATGGTCATTCATAAACACATCATTTATTGACCTTTCAGGAAATAAAAATTTGGAAATGACCCGATGTCTCTAACCTGAAGAAACATTGTCATCTACAAATTCAACATCCTGAAACAAAGTGTCGTCTCGCTAAAGACAAATTTTCTTGAAAACAAATTTCATCTCGCTTGAGACAATTTTCCTTTGAGATGAAAATTTTGAATTTGTTTCACTTGAAACAAGGTTATATCACTTGAGATTGTTTTTCTCAAAAACAACTTTGTCTCACTTGAGACAGTCTTTCTTAAGACAAGAACATTTGAGATTGTTTTTTTTTTCAAAACAGATTCGTCTCGCTTGAGACCGTTTTCCATCAAAAATACCAAATTTGGAAATTGTTTACTTGAAACGTAAAACATTTAAGATTGTTTCTCTTGAAACAAGTTGTGTCTCTCTTGAGACAATTTCTCTTGAAACAAAAAAATCTTTGAGTCTGTTTCCCTTGAAACAAAGTTTTTTTTCTCTCTTGATACAGTTTCTCTTGAAACAAAAGTCTTTGAGTCTGTTTCCCTTGAAACAAAGTTTTGTCTCTTTTGAGACAGTTTCTCTTGAAACAAAAGTCTTTGAGTCCATTTCCCTTAAAACAAAGTTTTGTCTCTCTTGAGACAGTTTATCTTGAAACAAAAAAATATTTGAGTCTGTTTCCCTTGAAACAAGTTTTGTCTCGCTTGATACGATTTCTCTTGAAACCATTATCCCTAAAGATGGCCAGCCATCCTCATTACTTAGGAACCGTGTCATCCACCGACCAGATCTCCTCATCACGTAAGAGCAACGTCAACCTTAGATAACCAACCGTCTTCATCACGTAAGAACCGTGTTATTATCATCCCTAAAGATGGCCAGCCATCCTCATCACGTAGGAACCATGGCATCCACCGACCATATCTCCTCAATCACGTTGGAGCCGCGTCAACCTTAGATAACCAGCCATCCACATCGTGTAGGAACCTTGTTATCACCATTATCCCTAAAGATGGTTAGATGTTATCATCGCGTAGGAACCGTGTCATCCATCGACCATATCTCCTCATCAAGTAGGAGCCGCGTCACCCTTAGATGGTCAGACTTCCTCATCACATAGGAATCATGCTATCTCCAAATTTACATAAAAACAACCAAAACTCTTCATCGTGGATGAGCAGTGTCATTTATTTTATCAAACTAAGCAAAAGGAGAACCGGACAAAAACTTCTTGTTTTATTGTCTTGGTCTTATTCTTGTTAACATAACAATATGCAAAGAGGGGCAGTTGTAGACACCTATTTTTGTTTCGGGTCTTTTTATTATTATTATTATTATTAAATAATTATTATATTTTGCAGGCTACAACAAAAAACCTGGGTCAAGCCCAATACAAGACCCAAATAAAACCCGAAGCCCAACATCCCACTACAAAGGACCGGTAACTCGACCCGAACTGGCCTAATTTGATAACCCAAAAAATTAGGGTTTTAAAGCCCTAAAGCTCTATAGCCGCCGCCAAACTCTTCAGCTTCCACCAGTGCGTGAACTTCACCGCCCATCTCCCTGCGCGCGTGAGACGCCGTCGAGCACTCCTGAGCCGCCGCCATCAGCAGCCTGGCTAAATTGTGACCGGACCTACATCAAACAACCACCAAATCATAAAACCCATTTTTAACTATAAAACCCAAAAAAATCATGATTTTATCAACTAAAATTAGAGAAACAATCCCCTAACCCTAGATTCATCATTCAACTGATTGATATCTACCCAAAAGAACCATAAATCAAGGATAGCAATCATATTTAAGGGAGAGGGAGAGCATTCGAAGAGAGAGTTTTTGGAAAAAAACAAACAACAAAGAAAGGGAACCCATAGCAAAAAAAATAGAACAAACAGAGAAAAACCCTTCGAAAAAAGAAAAAACGAGAGACAAGAACCTAGAAAACCCACCTTTCACCGAGATCTGGTCATCAGTAGAACCATCGGAGTTAGGAGAGCTTAGCACCGAAGGTAAAATCCTTTTTTAGGTCTATAGGTTCGAGGGTAAGTCATGTTTTGGGTAGTGTAAGGTTTGGTTTTCAAGTGAGAGAGATACAGGAGTAGGGTTCTCGATGATCGTCACCTCCGGTGTAAGTTGAGGACGGTCAGAGTCCTATTTTTTTCTTTTCTCATCGGTTTGGAAAAGGGGAAATAGAGAAGAAAAGAGAGGAGGCGGCAGAAACAAACCAAAATGAACTAGGATTTTTGAGAAAACCATTAGACCATGTTATATATTAACCTCTGCAAGGCGTCGTTTTGGGCAAAGAGAGGAGACCGAGCGCCTATTTAGGGGATATTCTCAATCTTGGTCCTTGTTACATTGTAATCTTCCCCCGTGTTTTTCAATTTTTGGGGAAAATTATAGTTTCGATCCTCCTTCGCTTGTAATATTTTATTTTAATCACTAATGAACTTTCATTTCTTTTTTCTTTGAGCTCTTTATTTGTTTTGCATTCTATTTTTGCCCTTTATTCTTTTTTAAATATATTTGTGTATGTATTCATGACTTAGCCATTGTATTTTAGTTTGTTTCTGTTAGGTAATATATGTTTTCTTTATCTTATTTTAGTCATTTTTTCTATTGTTGTATATTTTGTTTTGTTTGTTAAGTTTTTGTTGAGGAAATAATATTTTAATTGTTTATATTTCAGTCCTTCATATTGTTTGTATTTATTGCTATTCCAATACACTTGTTTTATAATATTCTTATATTGGTCATTATCTTTTACATGTTTACACTTGTGCCTAAAGTTGTTATTGTTAACACTTTAACCCTTTATTTGAAGTATGATTAGTCCCTTTTATTAGAATTTTAACTCATTATATCTATATCTATATCTATATCCAATATATATATATATATATATATATATATATATATATATATGTATGTATTGTTTTCCAAATTTGTGACACTGCTTTTCAACATTAGTCTATTTTACTACTCAAGGTTTCATATATATATATATATAATAAACTTTATTAATCACCTTTGCATTTTATTCTTTATCTTATTATGTTCGTGTATGTATATTATATACATATGTATTTCGTTTCATATTATTTTTATTTTTATTTGTTTATTTTTTACTATGTTACTTTGTTAATATTTACTTCGAAAAATTTCAAGAACATTCGTCGTAGAATGGGCGTGGAAACCACTACTTGGTCGAAGTAGTGCTATCTGATACGACGTTCGAACGAAATGAGAACTTGAAATAAATCTAGTTTATTTTACTAATTAAATCTTTTTTATTAAAATGATCCGATGTGTTTTTTATGTGATAATTTACTTTATGCAAATGTCGATTTTCCAATTATATTCGATTCGCGTTTTTTAAATCAATGAGGAGGGAATATTCTTTTACAGGTAAGAAATAGGCGAGATAGCTTTTCCGATGGAGGATTGCTAATTTCGAGATTTCTTTTCAAGTTAAAGAATTTTCCCTAATAATATAAATAATTCGAAGCACCTCAATAAATAGATCATATTTAAACTTTATATTTGATTCATGATTTCTACCATTACGACAACGTGTAAGCAATCAAGTACAGATTTTTGGGCGTTGTAGGGGTTTTTATCCTTCCCCACACGTAACCGACTCCCGAACCCGTTAAAATGAATCTTTGATAACTCATACCGAATTTTGTCTTAAAAACGATTTTTCTTAAAATTATTTTAAAAGACCTACCTAACCTAAAGGTCGATGGCGACTCTCATTCAATTTAATTCAAATTAATTCAAAATTTTCAAATTTTCAAAATAAAAGTCATAATTATTTTTAAAATAATATTTAATTATTTTTCCTAAAAATTGGTTATGACAACGTAAAAGAGAAAAAAACCTCAGAAAAATGGTATTTTGCCCTTTTTTATTTGGGTTAATTACCCATTCATACCTGAATTATATCCGATTCTCAGTTTCATACATAAAGTTTAAAAATTCTCGATTAACTACATAGTATTTTCTGCCGTTAACGGATTCACCCACTTCCGTCACGGAAAGTGACGTGGAACCCTATAACTATGACATGTGACACATTAAAAAACATGTTTTTAATATTTTAGGTAAATTATACTATTCATCACTCAACTATGTTCTAACTCTTATTTTAGTCATTAAAGTTTAATTTTTTTAATTTAATTATTAAACTATAGAATTACTCTTATTTTAATAACTCAAATTTTGTTTTATTAATTTTTTATGACATGTCATCTATTAATAACTCAAATTTATTTTATTTATATTTTAATAACTCAAAATTTAAATTACTTTTTATTTTAATGTATTTGATTTAATATGTAACTAATATGTATTAGTTTCTTGATCGCAACAACACTCCCGTCCTTCAGCTGTGTCTTGTATACATCACCAAAGCCTCCAGAGCCGACGAGGTTGTCGTTATGGAAGCCATTAGTGGCTTCAAGCAGATCAGAAAAGGTGAGCCGTCGTAAGGGCTTCTCGAATGTCGCAAGGTTTATGCTCAATGCTTCCCGAGCACTAGTTAGCTTCCAGTTAGTTTCCAGTGCCAGAATGGGAAAGACCGCCGTAGGGGTTCCTTGTTGAAATTCTATCCAATTGTTCCGATCGAATTCCGGCAAATTCGAGCAAATTTCCAGATCCATGGCACTCTGCGCTTCCATCATTCTTGATATACATATACCTTTTCCCCGCAATGAAATTGACAGCAATTTTACCTGATTGTTTAAACAGCACGTTAGGGACAGCCCCATTCAAGTTATTGGAATTAAGATCCAACCATATCAAGCTTTTACAATCTCCAAGCTCTGGTGGGATTCTTCCATAGAAGGAGTTATTGCTAAGCTTGAGAATCGCAAGGCTTGAAAGCTCACCGAGCCAAGCCGGAATCTCGTCGGTCAACCAGTGAAATTATTGCTAGACACATCGAATGATTCCAAAGAACTGCAAGAACCAAAGCTACTAGGAATCAACCCAGAGAAATTATTATAAGAGAGATCAAGCTCAACGAGATTTGAACAAGCTTGAGTGAGATGCAAAGGAATCTCCCCTTGGAAATTGTTTTCAGCTAAATAAAGATACTGCAATTAGAAGTTGGCAAAGCTGGAATCTGACCGGAAAACTGATTGCTCGATAGATTCAAGAAATTAATGTTCACACATGAAGAAATCGCGCAGCTATATCGCTGGAGAACTTGTTGCGGGAGATATCAATATGTTCCAAGGCGGAGCAGTCTCCGAATGAAGGAAAATCAGCCGAAAAATTATTCGCTGAAAGATCCAAAAACTTAAAATTCTTGCAGTTCGAGATGTTTACTTCACCCTCAATCTTGTTTCCTTTCAAGGCCAAGAGCTCTGACTCGCCGCAACCACCTTGGAGGATCCAATGAACCACGTTATCACCTGAAATCTTGTTGAAAGAAAGATCAAGAACTCGCAAACTCAGCTGCAAACCCCTGCTGGATTCAACACCGGAAAATCCGAGGCTATTGCTTGATAAATTGAGAAGCTTTAAGTTCGAGCAATAACCCAAGCTGGAAATAACTGAAAAGGGACCGTGGCTTTAATGAAGATGAAGAAGAAGAAGTGTAACCCCTCATACCGATGCGGGTAACCCGATCCGATCTGGAGTGTCACATTAGAGCTACCGGAGCGACCTAATGTAAAAATAGCGGAAAATTTAAAACTTTTATTAAAACATGTAATTTATAAAATGATTTATCAGTATGCAGAGATAAAACAGATTTTCAGACTTGTATATAAAACAAAATACAATTACATGCCCCGTAATCACATGTATCATACTCTGCAACAACGCCAGAAGAACTCTCTTACTGAAGTCGATAGATGCACTGATTCAATTCTTTTAGCCTGCAATGGTAAATAAAAGAGTGAGCTTCGAAAAGCTCAGTAATACAGAACTACCAGATGATGCTGAAGAACGTGCAGATACAGATAAACATATATTTCCTTATTGGTTCAGACATCTACATATCTTTATGCTGAGCAGAGATCCTACGGATATTTCAAGTAGTAACAGATAATAAGTGTTTAGTTCAGGGAAATATATTTCGGATGTCTATGTTCAGGAGATCAGAATAGGTTATCTAGTGTGTTCCCATAAAACCAGTAAAAATATACAAATCTTTTAATACATATATATATATATACCCCCATCCCTTCACAACAGAATGTATAGGTTCCCCATAACCATACACCTAACCCACACAAATTGTAAGGCCCTAAGCACAAAGCCGAAGAACCTACAGAAATACTTCCTTCAACAATACCCCCAATTAAAACATTTTTCCGTCAGTAAACAGAGATATCAGAAATCAAAACAGAATTCAAAACAAATATCATAATAGAATCCAGATCAGAAATCAGAACAGAATTCAGGTCATGTATCAGAACAAAATTCAAGTCAGAAATCAGATAAAATATTTATATGATTAAGGAACACACCAGAGTTTACAGATATTATTCAGAGGTACTGGATAATCTTATCAAGCAGAGAAACACATATCTTAAGTATATCAATAGAATGTTGGAATTTAAAATCACTATTGGAAGAGTTCAATAACTGACGGATTCATCAGTTATTCAGAATATGACTTAGCTGATAAAGAAGAAATGAAGGTTCAGGATATTTACAGTCTATGTCGATTGATTTCATTATCAAACAACTTCAAATGAGTATCTCCCAGAATTAATGCTTATCGACTGCTCAATTCATTGTCCTTACAAGGTATTTACACTTTAATACCACAAATTCTAGTCCATATATCATCTTCAGAATCGTCGCTGAATAAATCTTCCAATGTCTTTATTTCATGTTCACGCTTTCACTATATCATGAAATGTTGACGTACTTGATTTGTAATTCATGATCCATAAGAACATTACATCATGTATGTTCATTAACGTTTCCAGATTCATCCAAATCACTTACTTAATCCTTGGTCCTTGAGGTTACTTAATTCATTTATAAGTCAAGTCTATTCCAATTATTTTGGGGGTTTTCAGGGTAATTCAGACGTTTCTGAATTTCGAATACATATTGTACTTCCGTTCAATTTAATTTGGTCTTTGTGGTCTAACGAATATCCATTTCTTAGTAACGAATGCGATCTAGAGTTGAGTTGAGCTGAGTACATCCAAAATTATCATCAAGTCACACTTGAGAAGACGAACACGCATTCAAGTAATATCTATGTCGTTCAGTACTGACATATCATTAAGATTGATCAACTCACTTAAGTTGTGTTCCATAATTTTTAAAGGTAATCCAAAACCTATGCTTATTTGGATTCCTTAATTAATCCAAGGCATTTACTTAGTATAGGCCATAAGAGTATTTTGGTAATTTTGGTGTTCAGTTTTATTCAAATCATTACAGAGCTCGAGGATATCCCATCATTCCTGAGTTTGGTGATATTCTTGGGTCATTATCATTACAGGGGTATTCTGGTCATTTTACAGATCCAATGTATTTCAATCTTTTCTTTCCGTCCGATCTTATTATTAAATTTAAACTTATCATTTATTTCAGTCATTTCGAATAATTCTGCCAAAAGAACAACCTCAATAAATTATTCTTCAGGTTTTTACTCATAACTCGGATATTTTCGGGTCAAGTGCCTTCTCAGATTTTACAAACAAAATATCATGAATTTTTCTATACAAAGACAGAATCTTAACAATTAAATCCATACTTAATCGAGTTAAGTATGAATCCTCAAAGTACTTTCTCATTTAGGCTCAACTCAGACTATTTTACATCTCAAGGGCATTTTTGTAATTTCTTAACCAGATAATTTCGGTATTAGCTCTTAAAGAAAATAATTATAATTTAAAGATCCTATGATCAATTGCTTTCCCGAACATTCTCTGATCTTGAAATTATTCCTTAACAAACTTCTAGCATCTTGTGCAAATCCTTTTTGGCGTTAAAAATCAGTTATCCAAAATTTCTAAACAAAATCATTATTTCTTATGCACATCTGTAATTATATCGGATCAATATGTCTTTTCAGAGTTATTAACCAACTTCCAGAAACAATTCTTGTCATCCTACAACATAAGGGTATTTTTGTAATTTTATCCTATCGAAGTATTCTCATAATTTCCCATCCAAGTACCTTTGATGAAATAAATTATAATTTACATAACCAGACTGATTCATTTATCACTTAATCACAAAGCTTGTAATTTAATTCTAATAATTCCTCAATCTCTTATATTAGTCATTCGATCCGTATTCAGTTACAGAATTTCTACCACATTCATATCGAGTGTATGAATTATTCAACTCCACAAAAAGTGACCAACATTATCTTATTCATACATTTACCAATATCAACATGTTCCATAAAGCATAAAGAGGTAGTAAAGTATTACTTCGATTTTCGTGCCATACTGAGCGACCATAAAAATTCCATTCGAACGCCCTCGATCTTTAATTCAACTTCCAATAATTCCTCAGATACATATCAACATAAATTATATCAAAAACGGAGCTTAATTGCGATAAACGGATCGAATCAGGTGATTAATCAGTGAAAACCAACTTACCGGGTTTGAATTTGGTGAAACGGACCCCAAAAATGAATTCAGGACATCAAAAACATAAAATATGACTTTAATTTCGAGGCCTTCGGATCCGAATTTTGAAAAACAGACCCCAAAAACGGATTTGGGACGTCAAAAACGGGTTTGACTTGCAATTTCAAGGACTTCGGATTTGAATTTCGAAAAATGGATTGCGGAATCGGACTCGAAACGTCGAAAAATATCAGGATATGTATATTCAGTCAAAGTCAAAGGTCGTTTAATGCCAGTCAACGCCGGTCAACACAAGTCAACGGTCAACAGTCGACCATTTTACACAAATATCACCATAACAGAAATTAATTAAGAAATTAATTACAAAATTAACACCCAGACGATGCCCACTCTCGTGGGTGGCGCGTACGGCGTGCGAACAGTGATACGGTGTCGGAAAATTCTCGAAAAAATTCCTAAAAAATATTTTAAGGCATTTTGAGACACATACCAAGCTCGATTCACAATTTTGAACGGCAGAGAGCTCGATTCTGAAACGTCGGAAACTTTGACGGTCTCACCCTCCACGTGTCAACGACGATGGAGAAACGGAGAACATCGGTGGACTCGGAACGATGCAAGGAACACAATGGTGTGGGAGGTGTCGTAAACGGATGACCGGATCGTCGTGAATCGACGAAAAACCAACTGAAATCGAGTTAAAACCGACGATACTTCCAACTGAAATTAACTACGAACGACGATGATTCATAATGAAAGGTTTGAGGGGTTTTGTTCTTTGGTCGACAAAGAACACGATGATGGTTTCGGTTCATCGATAGAAGGTCGGACGACGAGTAAATCAGAGTTTAAAGGAAGGTTGAATGGAGAGGGAAAACTGGAAAATAATCTGGAAACTGCGCACGGAAAGGGGTTTATAATTCATCCCATAACAAATGGGTAAACTATGAGTTTAGTCACTGAACTTCATAAACTTCTTAAAAAATATGTCAACTTTGAAATTTTACAATTTAATCCATCGTTTCTTTCAAAATATCAATTAAATCTAATACTTTATAATTTCTAAAATTTAGCCCCTAAATTGGGGTGTTACAAGAAGGATTGTTGAGGACAATGGGTTGCTAATAATTACATTAAAAAATTGTAAACTTTAGTGACTAAAATAAGAGTGAGAAGGTAGTGAATGATGAATGATGTAATTTACCTAAAAAATAAAAAAACATGTTTTTTTAAGTGCCACGTGTTATTTTATTATAGGTTAGAGGGTTCTACGTCATCTTTCGTGACGGAAATGAGTATACCCATTAACGGCAGAAAATATTATATAGTTAATTG